CAGGCTTTTTATGTGGGATCATTTGTGCAGGTCACAAAAGCAGACTTGCCCTTAATTGGGTTAAGTGCTTTGGTGCTTTGTGACACGTAGCTGTTGATTCTTGGGGACATAAACCTTTCCACGATGGAGCAACAGTCCGTGCTCAAAGTTCCATTCTGCGAGGTTTTTCCCAAATTCGCGCTGTCCTGTAGTCAAAAGCGCACGATAATCCTTGGTCATCGTGTCGTCTGTGAGTGCCTTCTTGATCCTTTCCAGTAGTTGAGCATCATCAACTTCAGATGCGTGAGCGGGTCAAATCGCATTGATAGCGAAAAATTCAGATTTTAACAGCATTTGGTTCGAATTGTCGCTGTCTACCCCCCTCTCATGGTCTGGCCTCCTGGACAGAGGATCAGCACATAGCATAGTCTTTCCAGGTCAGTGACTGAGAATGAAATTAAATCTGGTGAGGAATAATGACCAGCGCGCTTGGCGCCAGGATAATTTCTGTGCCTGACAGAAGTATGTAAGGTTGAGATGGTCCGACCAAATCTCAATGGGTTCTGGATGTCCTTCTAAATAGTGCCGGTATTCTTCGAGTGCCCGAATAATAGCAAGCATCTCCTTGTCGTAAATTTCGTAGTTCCGCTCATGTTCGTTGAGTGACTTAGAGTAGTATGCGACTGGATGCCATAGCTTGTCCTCCTCTAGTTGTTCGAGTACTGCACCAGTTGCATAGTCTGACGAGTCTGTTTCTAGACGGTATGGCGCAGTATCATTGGGGAGTTGTAGGATCGGGGCTGAAGTGAACGCCGTTTTGAGTGCACTGAAGGCTTGGTCTTGCTCTTCCTTCTATTGCCAGGGCATGCCCTTACAGGTGAGAAGCGTTAAGGGTCGTGCGAGTTTCGCAAAGTCCTTTATAAATCGCCTGTAGAAATTCGCGAATCGTAAAAAGGCCTGTACTTGTTTGACCTTTGTCGGTGCGGGCCAGCCAAGTACACCTTCGACTTTAGCAGAGTCCATCTGTACTGAGTTCTTGCTGATGATCATGCCAAGATACTCAATTGAGGACTGTTCAAAGAAGCATTTCTCTGGTTTGGCATATAAGTCATTGTCCCGGAGGCGCTGTAGAACTGCTTTCACTAGTCATCGGTGTTCATCGAGATCGTCCGTAAATATGAGGATGTCATCTAAGTAGACTACCACCTTTCCAGTGCGAATTAAGTCTTCGAGGACTGTATTCATCATTGTT